AAATTTCCTCAGGAATCGAATGGAATAGGTTTTAAGGCTCTATCTCTCATAGTTTCCGAGATAATCGCGAAAAACGAAAGTGCCAAAAAAAATTAATTTAATTCATCTTGTATAGGGTGTAGGAAGTGGAAAAACGCAATTCTGAGCCGTCCATCTGCCTATACGGAACCCAAATTTCCTCAGGAATCGAATGGAATAGGTTTTAAGGCTCTATCTCTCATAGTTTCCGAGATAATCGCGAAAAACGAAAGTGCCAAAAAAAATTAATTTAATTCATCTTGTATAGGGTGTAGGAAGTGGAAAAACGCAATTCTGAGCCGTCCATCTGCCTATACGGAACCCAAATTTCCTCAGGAATCGAATGGAATAGGTTTTAAGGCTCTATCTCTCATAGTTTCCGAGATAATCGCGAAAAACGAAAGTGCCAAAAAAAATTAATTTAATTCATCTTGTATAGGGTGTAGGAAGTGGAAAAACGCAATTCTGAGCCGTCCATCTGCCTATACGGAACCCAAATTTCCTCAGGAATCGAATGGAATAGGTTTTAAGGCTCTATCTCTCATAGTTTCCGAGATAATCGCGAAAAACGAAAGTGCCAAAAAAAATTAATTTAATTCATCTTGTATAGGGTGTAGGAAGTGGAAAAACGCAATTCTGAGCCGTCCATCTGCCTATACGGAACCCAAATTTCCTCAGGAATCGAATGGAATAGGTTTTAAGGCTCTATCTCTCATAGTTTCCGAGATAATCGCGAAAAACGAAAGTGCCAAAAAAAATTAATTTAATTCATCTTGTATAGGGTGTAGGAAGTGGAAAAACGCAATTCTGAGCCGTCCATCTGCCTATACGGAACCCAAATTTCCTCAGGAATCGAATGGAATAGGTTTTAAGGCTCTATCTCTCATAGTTTCCGAGATAATCGCGAAAAACGAAAGTGCCAAAAAAAATTAATTTAATTCATCTTGTATAGGGTGTAGGAAGTGGAAAAACGCAATTCTGAGCCGTCCATCTGCCTATACGGAACCCAAATTTCCTCAGGAATCGAATGGAATAGGTTTTAAGGCTCTATCTCTCATAGTTTCCGAGATAATCGCGAAAAACGAAAGTGCCAAAAAAAATTAATTTAATTCATCTTGTATAGGGTGTAGGAAGTGGAAAAACGCAATTCTGAGCCGTCCATCTGCCTATACGGAACCCAAATTTCCTCAGGAATCGAATGGAATAGGTTTTAAGGCTCTATCTCTCATAGTTTCCGAGATAATCGCGAAAAACGAAAGTGCCAAAAAAAATTAATTTAATTCATCTTGTATAGGGTGTAGGAAGTGGAAAAACGCAATTCTGAGCCGTCCATCTGCCTATACGGAACCCAAATTTCCTCAGGAATCGAATGGAATAGGTTTTAAGGCTCTATCTCTCATAGTTTCCGAGATAATCGCGAAAAACGAAAGTGCCAAAAAAAATTAATTTAATTCATCTTGTATAGGGTGTAGGAAGTGGAAAAACGCAATTCTGAGCCGTCCATCTGCCTATACGGAACCCAAATTTCCTCAGGAATCGAATGGAATAGGTTTTAAGGCTCTATCTCTCATAGTTTCCGAGATAATCGCGAAAAACGAAAGTGCCAAAAAAAATTAATTTAATTCATCTTGTATAGGGTGTAGGAAGTGGAAAAACGCAATTCTGAGCCGTCCATCTGCCTATACGGAACCCAAATTTCCTCAGGAATCGAATGGAATAGGTTTTAAGGCTCTATCTCTCATAGTTTCCGAGATAATCGCGAAAAACGAAAGTGCCAAAAAAAATTAATTTAATTCATCTTGTATAGGGTGTAGGAAGTGGAAAAACGCAATTCTGAGCCGTCCATCTGCCTATACGGAACCCAAATTTCCTCAGGAATCGAATGGAATAGGTTTTAAGGCTCTATCTCTCATAGTTTCCGAGATAATCGCGAAAAACGAAAGTGCCAAAAAAAATTAATTTAATTCATCTTGTATAGGGTGTAGGAAGTGGAAAAACGCAATTCTGAGCCGTCCATCTGCCTATACGGAACCCAAATTTCCTCAGGAATCGAATGGAATAGGTTTTAAGGCTCTATCTCTCATAGTTTCCGAGATAATCGCGAAAAACCAAATGGCCAAAAAAAATTAATTTAATTCATATTTTATAGGCTGCTGTAGATCCGGTCAATTAGCCCCTCATGTATAGATATTCCAAATTTTTTTTTTGAAAGGGCCTTCAATTGAAAGCCCGAGTTGGAGACCCGAGTTTGTAGCAAAGATGTCAGACAAGATATGAATGTTTTTTTGGGCTCAAACGAAAGAGCGGGTCGAGAAATGGCGTGCTAGGACCTCTAAAGATGGTTTTGAAACAGGGGAGACTCCTAGACCCCAATGTTCTATACATACTCCTAGACCCCATTGTCCTCCTAGACAATGATGTCACAACTCTGCTGTTCAATTGAAAACAGATATCATCTTTAGAGACATTTGTCATGTTTAGAGTTGTTCTTCTTCACGGTGAAGCGGGCCCCTTCCCGCCCCGACAAGTTGACTATAGAAATTTACTGCTCTAATGAAAACCGGGAGCATGCCCAATTAGAAGTTAATATGTCGATTTTTCCAACAGTTAGAGTACGCACAAGCATTTTGAGCGAAAAACCGAACAATTACGATATCTTGGAAATTTTGCCTGAACGGGTATGCATATCTTGATCGATTAAAATAGCGGACATTGAGACGAATATTTTGAAGAAAAAAAATTATTGAAATCGGTTAAACAGTTTTTGAACAATTTACAGAAAACGATTTAGAAACGAATGGAGATTTCTCCAAAACAGCTGGCCCGATTGGGCAGCACCTGAGCACAGAATCCTTATTCATACCTATATCCTGACAAAATTTGAAAATTTTTTAAATTGGTTGGTCCTTTCATTTCTCGATTTTCTAAAAGTTGACTACCAGAGGTGGACAGTCGCTCATATACGCATGGCCGTAAAACTTTGGATTTTTACGTTTTAGACCATTTTACATCATTTCCAAGCAAAATTCGAAAATTAAAAAATAGAATCATTTCAGTGCTTTCATGAAATGAAATAAAATTTGTTGAAATCGCGCCAGTCATTCTCGAGATATTGACGGTTGAAAAATGCCAACTTTCAATTGTAAATTTTAGTGACTCACCGGGCGTTGAAATCCTCATCTGGACGTCGATATGCTCTCCAATGCCTCCAGAAGCTCGTCCCCGTGAAGATCACTTGCACTAAACACTTTCGAAATTAAAAACCGCACTAACATGACTGAAACTGCCATCTTACGTATTTATACACACATCGACAAAGAAATTCCCGAGAGCACTTTATCACTTGATTAACAAAAGAAAACTTCATCACAATTCACCACACTAACATTCTAATAAAATCCTGTGTCCACTGGTTTCACACATCAACTAGGTTTATCACGTTTTGAATTTTTCAAAGAGTCATTGAATCTATCAAAACTGTCCAAATACTGGATTTGTCCAGAATTGCCTCCAGGCGTCATCTCGTGGTGTCACAAATACGTCGGTCACATGGAGATTCCAGATTTTCACCATTCGAGACGTTCATATCATTTTAAATTTCGTAATTTATCGAACTATGCAACCATTGCCTTGTACCTTGTAACTGTCCATTATTATTATTAATTAATTATCGGATTGTTACTTATTTTCTGCGATTTCACGAGTAATTTCTTCGACAACACTTAGGTCATCGCCAAGGAACATCAGGGCAGCCACTTTGAATCTGCGTAGAGGCGTTGCGCAGACGTTTTTATTGTTTTCTCATGTGTATTTGTTTTTACGTTTTAAAACCCGCAATTCATGGGAATAATCGTTGATTTAATGATCAAATTATTGTTGTCCATTATTATCCACTAATTACAGCTTTTTTAAGATTTATGTTAATGATTTTACCCTTAATTTCGGATATCTGGAGACGAGCGCCAAAACCTCAGGACTTGTCGGCCATTTTTGATGTGCGCAGAGATGTTGCGCAGAGATTTTCCCCATTCTGTCCTGGCAATTTGTGTTTTTACGTTCCAACACCCGCGATTCAGCAGAATAATCGTTGATTTGATGATTAAATTATTGTTCTTCATTGTTGTCAACTTATTATGGCATTTTTAAGAATTATTTTAATGATTTTACCCTTGATTTTCGATAAAATCCGGAGACGAACGCCAAAGCCTCGAGACTAGTCGGCCATTTTTGATGTGCGCAGAGATGTTGCGCAGAGACGTTTCCCATTCTCTCCTGGCAATTGTTGTTTTTACGTTCCGACACCCGCAATTCATTGGAATAATCGTTGATTTCACGACCAAACTATTGTTGTCCATTGTTGTCAACTAATTACAGCATTTTTAAAAATTATTTTAATGATTTTACCCTTGATTTCGGATAAAATCCGGAGACGAACGCCAAAGCTTCCAGACTAGTCGGCCATTTTTAATGTGCGCAGAGATGTTGCGCAGAGATTTTTTCCATTCTCTCCTGTCAATTTTTGTTTTTACGTTCCAACACCCGCAATTCATTGAAATAATCTTTTATTTGATGATCAAATTATTATTGTCCCTTATTATTAACTAATTACAGCATTTTTAAGAATTATTTCAACCATTTTACCCTTGATTTTCGGATAAAATCCGGAGACGAACGGCAAAGCCTCAGGACTTGTTGGCCATTTTTGATGTGCGCAAAGATGTTGCGCAAGGATTTTCCCGCTTACGCTTGATCGCTGTCGCGGGGTGGGGGTCCTTTGAACAATTTCAGATGGACACATTCTGTTTTGAAGAAGTTCTCTCTAGAAAAATGGGGACAATACGGGAGGCGGTCGAACAAATTGGCCAGTAAATTTCTAGTAACCATTGCCAATCTCTAGTTACAAAATTTGAAATACACTAGAATGCACTATACTGTACTGTACTGTAACCAGTCCTCGGCGGAACACACCCTGTACAAACGAGCCCCCTCCACTCCGCACCTTGCTGCTGAATCGTACACACAAGCGTCGCATCACAACGTTATTCCGCAAAATTCCAAAAAACCTTAAAAATGTGCCCGTAACACCTAAAAATGTGTACTCCATTGAAGAATCTTTCGCTAGTGCATTGAATAGTGGTAAAAAACATCAATTGATACTGTGCAAAAATCCCTCCGGTTGATCGGTGTGGAACCTAACCTCTGATTGTTTATCCCAGAGCACGAATCGTCGAAATGGCGGTTGGAACAACCAAAGTCGTCCAAGTGACGAACATCGCACCCCAGGCCACCAAGGACCAGATGCAGACACTGTTTGGTTACCTGGGGAAGATTGAGGACATTCGGCTGTATCCAACCATCCGGGACGTTGCTGTACCAGTTCAGTCCAGAATTTGCTACATTAAATTTCATGATCACGGGTCAGTTGCTGTTGCCCAACACATGACTAATACCGTGTTCATTGACAGGGCTCTGATTGTCATTCCTTATCAGAATGGAGATATTCCTGATGAACAGAGGGCACTGGAGCTCACTAATAATGGCACTGTCGTTCCAGGTTTGTTGACAAAAAAACATTTTCTCTTATTACACACGATAATTCTCTTCTTTTTTCTTTAGTTTTATTCTAAACTCAAAAATGTTGTGTCGTAGGATATTGTCAAGACATTTTCCTCATTGAGACACGTGAAAACTCTTTATTATTGAATTTTCATTGCCTTGTTTAGGATTAAATCAGGGATTGGCATCAATCATTAGATTATTAATGTTGAGAGAAGTTGCATCTTAAAATAATTAAGGTTTACTTATCTTCATCGAAATTTGAAAAATAATAAAATGGTCGAAATAGTCGAAATATTTAAAATTTACGATTAACTGCCTTTCAATTCATACTAACAAATAATGAAAATAAGTAATAAACTCAAATAGATTTTCAGCATCAAGTGTCATCTTCAAGTTGATGACATAAAGAAAAAGCTCACAATATAGTTCCTAAGGTCTATTGCACATGAATGTCTCACTGAAACCCACAAAAAACTGCAAATTAAATTTCTCCTCCAGGTTTATACCCATCCGAGCCGAAGCTACCTCCCAACGTGGTGAACTCGATCGAGGGAATCCCTCCAAACCACGTGATAATGACAATGGACCCCAAACTGGAATCAAACGGTCTGCCCCCGTACCCGAACCTGCCAGGTCACCTGGACAGTCGCAGAATCGAGGAGATTCGTCGTACCCTGGTGGTGGCGAACCTGGACTCGTCAGTCTCAGTCGATCAGCTCCTGGAGTTCTTCGTCTCCAACGGCGTGGAGATAAAATACCTCCGTCTGTGCACCAGAGACTCTGACACAGACCATTACGCCCTGATGGAGCTCAACGAGCAGTCCCAGGTGGTGAATGCCCTGCTGCTGAACGGGAAAATGCTGGCTGATAAGCCGATTAAATTGTACCACTCGACCCAGGCGATAGCCAAGCCCGAGGCCAAGAGTAACGAGGCAGCTCAGAAGGAGATCGAGGAGGCAATGTCGAGGGTTAAAGAGGCCCACAACCTGATATCCGCAACAATTGACCCAATGATCGGGATGTTAGCCAAGGACAAGAGGAGCAGAAGTGGCTCTCGAGGGAGGAAAACGAGGTCGAGGTCACGTGGACGCAGCCGAAGGTCTCGATCGAGGAAAAGATCGAGATCCAGGCACAGGAGATCACGCTCTCGACATCGTCATCGCTCCAGGTCACGCTCCAAGCGCTCTCGATCGAAGGAGCATCGACGCAAGTCACCCTCCAGACGCAGGAGTACCTCCAGGGTAAGGCACAGGTCGAGATCCAGATCCAGGAGCTCGAGGTCCCGCAGAACTAGATCGAGATCGAGGGATCGAAAGAAGAAGTCGCCGAGGAGAAAGTCCAGGTCGAGATCCAGGAGCAAGAGATCGAAATCCAAGTCGAGAAAGAGGTCTAGGTCCAGATCCAAGACGAGATCTTCCAAGTCCAAGTACTCGGAGAAGTCGAGGGACAGGGACAGAGATAGGGATAAGGAGAGGAGGAGCAAGGATAAATCCGAGAGCAATGGCAGGAAGAGCCATGAGAAGGACAGGGATAGAGATAGGGATAGGGAGAGGGACAGAGACAGGGATAGAGACAGAGATAGGGATCGGGATCGGGACAGGGAGAAGAGCGAGAGGAAAAAGGAGAGACGCGATAAGGAGAAGGACAGAAGGTCTGAAGAGAATCCTGGGACCTCACGTGCTGGATCTGATTATAGCGATGGCAAGGACAAAAATGACGACAATTGAGGGACAATATTTGACACGAGAAGAAAAATCACTAGAACTCCTCAGTTCTACCTTGATATATATTGGACAATGCAAAAATACAGAATGAAAAAAATGATGTGAACCCCTCACGTAATGCAGTCCGAAAGAATTTGATTAAATAGTAGAGTTCAATTCTCTTCCCTGGATGAGTCCGTCGAATTACTCCATGTTCTGTCGACGAGGAAGCAGCAGGGGCTTCTCTTCACTTTCCATTGCGTGGTTCGAGTGTCTGCAGATGTAAAATATTTCCATCAAACTATTTTCTCCTTCGTTTAAACTGGAGAAACTCACCCAGGATCCATTACATTGTAGTAATAAACGTCGTCATAGTGAGGTATCTTCACAGGAATGTAACCCACACGGAGTAGATCCTTCTGCGCCCTTTTAGCTGTTGACCGACGTTTCAGCAGTACCTTGTGAATTTGATATCAAATTAAGAAAACATTATGTGCATGAGAATGTGTGCAGTTGAAGGGACATTTGTGCTGAGTTAATTTACCAATCCGTCGTCTTTATCAGGAAAATTTTTTGACATTCTGCCAAGTTCCATCGATCCATCTTTATTATTTCTATCTCTCATGTAATCCAACTCATTTGCTCCTATAAAACATTCAATGACATTGTGAATATTGTGTTGTATTTTATTTATAGGATATTCTCACTTCACTTACGAACAACGTATTCGTCGTATTGATCCAGAATATTTATCCCTAGGAAATTTGAGAGAGTGTTGGGATATCTGAGGTCCATTACTATCAGAATTGCTGCAATTATCAGGCATAAAATACCTGGAGAAAATAATTCATTACATCAATTTATGATTTATGTTTTATGATTCATTAAAATTTAGTGATGAACTTGATGAGGAGTTGTACCTCCGGAGAGTGTCACCCAAAAAGAGAATCCATAGGACGTTCTCAGTGTTCCCCCTTCGAATGGAATAGCCAGTGGAATTGGATTTCGTACAAATGCCCAAATGACACAGCTCAAAAGCTCTAGGAAGCCTGCCAAAGCCGTGAAATATGCTGCGTATCTCCCTACCGAGTGCAGGAAGATGTTCGCGAGGATCCAAGCTGGTAACGCTGCCCTGGAGCATTAATAAACCCAGATATTGAATCTATGCATTATCCCAGGGCTGTTATTCGGTCACCTCAGATATATTTAAGGAGTAAATTACATGGAAAGAAAAATCTTGTGTACTATCCACTCACTTTCATGAGCTCTATATACAGCGAATAAATAATTAATTAACAATGCACAAGTTAAAAATAATAATAACCCTGGGATGATATAGAAATTTATTGAATTGTTTGTCTCTGCAATTTTTCAAATCATGAGTAACATACCAGAGTAAGATATGACAGTACCACCCAGCAGTCCTATAGAACCTCCCAAATCTTATATTTTCTCCATCGAGAATGAAATAGTCCACGACCCAGATGATGGGGATTGGAGTGCCTCTCCTCTGTGCTTCTCTGAAAGTCCTCTGTAAATGTCCGGCTAATGAAAAAAGCAAGGAATTATTAAGTAATTCGATGAATTGAACAGTTGGCTGGGAGACAGTTACAATTAGGTCCGAATCCGAATCTCCCTTGGTCCCATGTCCACGGGAATCTCTCGTTATAATTAATAGTCTCTCCAGCGAGTGGAGTATTCGGCTCAGTGTCAGCTCTCAATGTCACATTTATGGAACGCAGACCAATTTTAATTCCTATCGCCGCATCAATCTCGGTTTTTTCACCGGCTCTGTAGGGGGTTTTCGTCTGAATGTGACTGACCTCCCACTCCTGCCCATAATTCGATACTAAAACGATTTCAAAGCTGAAGGATTCGAAATTTTCATAAATTCATGAGCTTAAATTACGTGATTAACTATCTGGGGATCTTACTCATTAATGAACAACCAATTAGAATGCTAAATCCGACCTTGACGAATGAACAGAGACTCTGAAAAAATACTCAGGAAAAGTCGTGATAATCCTTTGATAATTGTCTTGGGCATGTCTCACCTTCTTCCTGCTGTATCCAAGGGTAACAATTAAACTAGTCACTGCTAGAACCACAAATACAAATAGAATTGCCACTTCATCGAGATCGACAGTAACAGGGGATCTATTATCCCCGAACATGGTGGGAAATCCCTCGTTTCTGAGTAACCCAAACATTTTTCAATCTTACACAATTCTCCTCTCTTCATAAACTGCCAAAATCACTAGATTGCTTGTACTAAAATTGGGAGAGGCTGTATTCAGGGACTTGTACACCCTGAATAATTCCTTATCACTTCGAGCTTCCGTTTTAGTCATGAAAAGTAGGAGGAAAGGATAACTCGAATGGCGGGGGAATGCGATCGAATGATTAGATGTAATTAAAGGAAAAAAATTTAATCAAACAATTCCCACTCATTATCTATCAAGATAATTCAATATTTAACATTAATTTAGGTCGGATTTCCTGGATAGGGGCTAGTAGGGTAAAGTGGACACTTGATTTTTTTTTCAATGTCGACAGCTCATTTAATTTTCAATGAAATAATTTTTTTTAAGGATAGACTCCTTTTTTTCAATTGATCAATTTATTCCTGAGTTATGATTTTTTTTTTAATGTTTGAAGTGTCCATTTTGCCATCGTAGTACAGAGGGAAATTGACTGGAATTGATGGAATGAATAGAGAAAAAAATTTACAAGTTCATAACAATTATATTTATAATACTCTACAACCATAAAATGTAATAAAACGAAAAAAATCTCATACACATAATGTTGCGGACGAATCTCAGTTGCTGGGTACGAGTGGCTTGTTGTGCTTGGAGCGTTTGGTGTTGTGGTAGAGATACGAGTGAACACGAAGGCTGTTGCTGTTCTTGTACTTGTTCCCGCAGAGCTTGCACGTCAGGCTCTCGAGGGGACCGTGAATGTACCTCACGTGGAGTTTAAGATTTTCCTTCCTCGTGAAGTGCCTCAAACACCAGGGACATGAGTACATCCTCACGACTTTTCCCCTCTCGACTCTGAGCGTCGGTCCGAGCTCAGAGATAACTCGAAGGGTTGTTTCCAAGGGGAGGGTACTGTGGGGAATTCCTTTCACTGTTCGGCGACCTTTTGACGATTTTGGCTGGGATGAGTCGTAGGGGAAGGTTTTTGAATAATTCCCGTCGTCTTGATGACCTGATAATTGAATAGGATTTTTGTTAAGGAGATCCAAACAGTTTTCAATTTTTAATAATCAAATTTGTTCATTGTTGCATTCAGGTCTTAAACTCTCAAAAAACATTAGACAAATGGAAAAGAGAGAAAAAACAAATTATTCAGGCGAAAACTGATGTTCACACAGTTTTATCTGCAGAAACAATGTCATGTTCATGTTCAAACATGAATTCATGTCTAATTAATTGATATCTGGATGCAATATTTTTTTGTTTCCCAAAGAACATTCGAAACTATTTTCGTTAAAATCACATTGACATTGATATCAATAATTACCAGGTGGCTCCTCCCCATAATCTGACTGATAAGAACTGCCCTCAACTGGTGTTTGCCTGTCATTCTCCAAATTCCCTGACGTAACACCTGAGGTCGACGAACCCATTCCATATCTGTAATCCAATGGTTTGTCCTTAGGCATTTGATGGGTATCAGAGGTGAAATCTAATGGTTCAACATCAGCACTGGGTATTCTCTCAACGCTCATGTAATTCTCGTTGAACATCGATTGTATCGCTGGTACATCAGTTTCCGATTTGAGGTGACTTTCCGGGGACATTTGTAATGTAACACTGGAAGACGTTGGAATTTCTGATGAGTTGCTCGATGGAAGATCAGTCTGTGAAGAGCTGGGGTGATCGAAGGGCCGTGGAAACTCCTCCAGAAGGTCGTCTGGTGACTCTGCAGGCTCTGGCATTTCCTCGTCCTTTTCAGATTTCAATTTCTTCTCGAGGAGTTCACAAGATTGTTCGTCTGGCTCTTCTGTGTTCTAGAATCATAGAAGTTATCTGATGAAACGATGACAACTCAGTTATAGTAATACTTGATAAAATTCTTAATGCCTTAATTTTGCTTACGGCTAATTTTGTTTGATTTTTGGGGAGATTTTTTTATGACAACGATAGTGATTAGAATTTAATGGAAAATGACAATCCAATGATAGTAATACTTGGAGATTTTCAAAATTACCTTAAACAAAAGTTGAAGGTTTTTCAAATTTCAGTGGAAATTTTTTATGCAGAGCAAAATGAGATTAGTGGAAAAAGCATATATATAAAATCGTTCGAAGGATGATGATGATGCAGGGACTTTTAATGGATTAATTTTGCATGAAGATAATTTTTGGAAAGATTTTTTATGTGAGACAAAGTCAAATCTACAAAAAAAGTTTCATGATAAAGACAGTGATGAGAATTTAATGGACAATGACAATCTAGTGATAACACTTGGAAAATTCCTAGATTTTCTTAAACAAAGCTTAAACATTTTTGAAATTTTAAGGACAATTTTACAAAAACAATAATGAAATAATAATAATTGAGATATCGTTTGGAATAATAATCACCTCATTTTTGTCCTTAGTTAGTCCCTTAATTTGCAGTGTCTCAGCGACTTTCAAGAAGCTCGAAATATCCTCCTGCTTGATATTCACTTCTCCCTGGTACATAAACTGCAGCATTGCATACAAATCCCGATAATTAACATCCTTGAGTATAACAATGGGATGTTTACAGTTGTTCCCCTACGAAAATAAAATGAACACTCAATTCTCAAAGACAGCCCTAATTATTCTTAAAAGAATACCTTGAATAAATCTCTGAAGTATGTGCTGCACACAGACAAAATTAATTTGTGTGCCCTGAGTATTTTTCCCTCAGCAGCCAACGTGACATCCACAAGATGTTCATCAGACAGCAGTGAGTACAAACCAGACGATAAATTCGTTGGAAAACTGTTCCATACGAGGGAAAATTGTTCACCAGCCATTGTTGGTATTAATTTCAACAGAAATTAATTGACAATTGCTCTCGAAGAACTCTTAATGACAGCCTGAAAATATAAATACGCAGTTTGATGGAAAAATCACCAGTAAATTGAATTTCTATTATAATTACCTCTATATTATCTAACAATAGAAATCACCCACTCCTTTTCACTCTGTTCAATTGGAATGAAGGTAAACACTATAACAGATTTTCAACAATTGTAATAACATTCGACTAGGAAAACAAATGATATCACTGATTAATAATTATCATTGTTAATCGTCAACGATTTAACAATAAAAAATAATAGTTCTGTTCAACGTTTTCAAGGCTTTTTCACACATTTATTTCATTGAATTTATTATAACCATCAATCTTGTTATTTGATTCATGTTTTGAGGTATAATCGGGCATAATGCATAACTGCACCATGAATCATGCTCACATACGAGGTAATTTTTTATTTACTGCGGCGGATATATCATATGCGTGCTTGATATTCAAGGGGCAGAGGGGATGAAAATGGTGAACTAGCGACGCCACTCGACAAGAATTTCAATTGACCCTATCATTTAAATTTCAATTAACACTCCACTTTCAACAGTGGAATTTATTTTATTTTCCCAACTAAATATTAATAATATTGATATTTCCTGATATCCTCTTTCATGTTCAAAAGAATACAATTTATGACGGAATTTATGATGAGATAGGAAAAAACATTCATAAAAAATGCATAAAGAAATTTACATTCTAATTCGTACGTTTGAAATGATAAAAAATGTGGTTTCATTATTGGAATTGATTTATTGCAATAACCTGCATCACAAAAAATAATGACAATTTACATCACCTTCACATATATTTCAGATTAAAATACAAGTTTTCATGATCTCATAGCAATAATGCATTTCAATTGAAAATTAATGGAGATTAATAGGTAGAAAATTCTAAATGCTCCATCTTGGGATTTTACTGTGAGGTGCGAATTATTAATTAAAAAACTGTTTGTTCAATGATTTTTCACCAGTTCAAGAGTTCTTAACTATTGAGCCAGTTACGTCTGTTTTTAATTAAAAACAAAAATCCATGTGTATAAATAAAACTGGGAAAATAATCCAATATGTACGAATCGATATTGGAGTTACTCAAAACCTCGGTGAAATTCTAGTTACTTTACATTTTGTTTTTTTTTCCATTCCCTAATGGTTAATCGTACTTATCACGCACTCTCTCGAATATTAATTCGACAGACACATTCTACAATTAATATATTACTGATTTATCCCTTTATCCTTCGTAATTTAATTCCATAAACGACGAGTATTACGTGATTACTAGGTGCGTAAAATTTATTCAGCCGAAATGAGCACCTCACACATTAAAAACAGCAACAGACGTTCCTCAGAACGAAGCCCAAAAAGTAATAATTACAATAATAAAATTTGAAAAAATAAAATTCCACATGTTTAATTACAAATTTACAAATTAAAAAAAAAGTTGAAGCACGCAGTGTTTCATCAAGCATTAAATAATTTTAGGTTTGTTTAAACTAACAATTACGTCGTGCATAATTTCATTTCAACCCTTTGGACACATTTTGGACTCTTGTACTTCGATGAATAATTTTTAAATCGTTAAAAAATTTGTTATCGTTTCGTTTCAAATCTCATTGTAAGCTTTTTTTCATCACTTCCTCTTTTTATTACATTTGTATAATATAGTCTATCAAGTAATATTGTTTATGGGTGGTTTTTTGGTTGTCTTCTGTTATTATAACGTGCAAGTAACCCGATTAGAAATGCTAGGCAGTCTAGAGTGCCAGTGGGTTGGTTTCATTCAGTATTTGCTCTTTTTTGTATTGCGATGGAGGAGAAAATTTCATTATTCTCTCTCTTCACTCTCTCTAGTTTCAATAGAAAAAGAGCAAACGCTCTTGAGCACTGCCAGACAGCAATTTCCACCCACGTTTGATGTTCAAGTACTGGGTGATTGCGCGTAAGCAAATGAGAATTCCTGAAATAATAGAATGTGAATAAAAATGAACGATTGGGGTCCCTTTCTGGACACAGTTGGATGCATTTAAGGATGACTTACCCAATGCCATGATCAACCACCACAGCCACGAGTTAGCACGCGATGCCAGGTCTGTTGAATGCTTAACTATCAGTGTCCATTTAGTCAGAGAAAGTCCAAAACCAGCTAGAGCTCCATATCGTGCGGCAATTGTGTGGCAGAAACACATTGACACCAGGAAACCAATCCAGTTGAAGAGGAATGCAACTGAATGGTTGAAGAAATAAATATTGGAATTATTTGTTGAAAGTTTAAGGCGATTTTGACTATTGGCCAGTTTTTAATGAATATCTCTATATGTGAGGGAGATAGCAACATTTTGGTTATGACCTTTTTTGTAGCCCTCAATTCGCTCTATAAAAAAGGTCATTACAAAAATTACGTTATCTCCCTTAGATTCGGAAATATGAACCATTTTATGGCTTCGCCACTGAATTAAATAAACAAAGGTCGGAATTCATTACAAAATCGAACAAAAAAAAATATTTAGTCGAACAAACAAACATTAAAATCACATGTGCAATTCTAAAAACGAAGTGCTCTTGACATAAAAGAATTTCTTTTACCCAAAAAAGCTGTAAAGAATATGAAATCAGTCCCAAGCAATCCACTCTCTGGATCCCCCTCGGTAGCACTGGGGTCTATGGCCAAAATGGTCAATGGCTGTTGGGCTCTGAGGCCACTCTGAATTTTACAAAATTAATTAATCAGTTGCTTGATCGTTTCGTCGTAACGATACGCACCAAATTCATGGAAGAAGGAATGGGTTCTCCCTGTAGGGTCTTCTCACGTTGTACCTCTTCGTAACTTGGTAATTTAGTTGCAAGCTCGTATGGTGGAGGGGCTGAGAAATCCAGTTTCGGAGGTGGGAGATCGTCATCGCTCTGACAACGGTAGAGAATCAATTAGCATAAACTATTCATTGATATAACTTCAATAAAATTTTTGCAATGGAACAAATTAAATTAGATTTGGGTGATAATTAATTCCATTTGTAGTTGACAACATTTTCAAGGAAAGATAATAAGATGGTTGATTAATTTTAATTATAAAATAACTATAAGATATGAAGATAATTGCGTGTTCAAATAGACTTAATTCCACTTATTTCCCTTTTCAAGCTTAAATCCCTTCAAAGAATAATAAAATGAAATATTCATAGCGAAAGAAATATCAAATTTTTGTTTTGTCATTCAATGGTGAAGTGATAAAACGTAACAAGTTAAATTCTTGACATCTTTTCACAACATCACTAGATACGAAGATAATCCCCTGTCCAAACAGACTGAACTCCCCTCACTCCCCCTCCTAAATTTAAACCTCTCCAAGAAACTTGGAAAAAAATTATTTACCAACGACAAAACATTCATGTGTCGACTGGAAGCTCCTGAGTGTCCTGGCTCTTCACTAGGTAATTCCACAGTCAAACTGGGAAGTACAACCGACGAGGACGCGCCATTCTGGACGACGTCGTTGCTGATATGCGACTGAACAGAAACAAATAATGCCTGAGTCATTGTTTACACTCGACGATTCCAGGGGCATTGAGAGGTGCTAATAACCCTCAATGACATCTCCAAACGCCTCTCAAACATTCACATGTGATTGAGCAGTGGACTGTGACAACTCATGACATCACAGACCAGTCGATTATGTCGTGGGTGTATTAGATCATTTGTTTTCTTGGCACTCGCATTCGTTATGTGTATTGTGGCTCCGAAAATATCGGAAAAATATTGGCGAAATGAACCGAAGAAAAGTGTCAACTGGGGGCTTTTACCGAGGAATATCCAAGTGATAGTGACTTGGTGCCCTTCAAGAGTGACTGGAGGGTAAAGGGAATAAAGTTTCCACTGGAGAAATGTCAATTTCACGCACTCACGGTGAAGGGAATGCTTTAAACCTCGAGGATCCATGATTTTTTCATCTACTCACCATTTTCCCCTCTCAAAAGTCCCAGAAGTTGTCCGCACAATCGTAGAATTCAACAATAATCCAGGAACAGATGCAAACACTCCCTCGACCGAAATTTATTATATCTTAATGAAACAGAGTTTTCCCACAATCGATGGCTGAGCTGACAGCTGGTAAATTGCTCCAGACGTGAATGATTCCGATCGTCTAGACTCACCGAGTCCCACAATCCTGCTTTATCGACTGCTATTCCACGACCAGTTGCTCCAAAATAACCTCCAGAATTATGAAATAATTCTGGAAATGAAAAGCTCGCAGTACCTCCAAACCAAACCCAAAGTCAATGATCTAAAATTTTTACTCAAACCTTCATTCAATTAATTCCCACTAAAAATGAAATTCAGGAATCATCGAATTAATTTGAAACTTCCGCTCTAATTAGTGTTTACATCTGGCATCAACTGCGCCCCCACGTGATCTCCAGTGGAACCAAAAGTGTCTGCAGCACCGGAGTTCAAGGCGCCAGCGGAAGTGGTTTCTTCTTCACTGGAGAAAAAATAATAAAATTAGTGCAAGTGTAGGAGACATGTCGTTGAAAAAAAATAGTTCGATGTTGTTTGATTATTCTTGTCATCTTCCTCTTCGTCCCTCGGAGCACACTGAGAGGAGTTGTGGGTTATTTTCGATCGTTTAGGATTCAATTTGACTCGCGTAGTGAATACATGCCGCGGGGGGTGGGGATATCGAGTGCTTTGGCCCACGGGGTGATACACAAACGACGCTATACGGTTTCTCCAGTCAGTCGCTTGGCGAACGCTCGTGCGAAACGATCTGTTGTCAACATGTCTGAGACGTACAAAGTTGGAGATCTCGTATGGTGTGTATAAAAAGCCCATCCAAACCCGTGCACTCGTCCCCGAATCACCGACAAGTGGAATTAATTGATTAAAATTTTTCGAAATTCCAGGGCGAAGATGAAGGGATTCTCACCGTGGCCCGGCCGGGTAAGTCCGAAATTTCACTCCCTTAGCTCCTTAACGGTTTTCCCCACTGTTATATTTCAAGTGAGCACTAATGCCGCGCGCCACGCATCAATTTTCCCTCCCGCCATGTCATTTTTGGCGGGATTATTTACCTTCTGGGTTTTCTCGGTGGAATTCACCTCTTTCGTTGGTGTTTTTTTTTTTCGGGACATTTTTGGTTTAATCTCCCCCACGGTGGGCCCCATCACTCCCGCCACACCCCGGGGATTTTCGAATTCAAATTGGCGCGCAGGTATCCAGAGAAATAACCTAGAATTTTTGGGAACTTATTGGAGGGGTTGCTGTTATGGGATGGACAGATAGATTGGGTTTATATGCTCTGGAGGCTCTATATTTTAATGCCCACAGTTGTAAAGAAAGAATCGAATTAGTGGATTCAATAAATTGAGGCAAAGAACAGGTGGAAATAGGTGTTATCAGAAAAGGGTTTGCAATTGTGGAGTAGGTTGATTGTTTTCAATTTAGTAGTTAGTCTTCAATTTATATATTTATATATTTTGATACTCGTGGCTTATAACGAATAAATACCTATGGTTTATAAGGAAACAGGTCAACAGGTTCATCGAAAATGGAGCATAGAATTTTTGTGAACCCATTGCATTAGAGAGACTCCAGTGCGTATAAACCCTATATTCTGATTGCTGTATTCCTATGATTCCTATATTCTGATGAAAAATAATTCAATTGATAGATTTAAAAAAATAGCGGGAAATGGATATTATGTATTAAAAATAGAACCTACAATTTTTTTCACTTATTGCACAGGGTTTGGAATTGTGGAGTAATGGGATTTGGATTTATTCGTCGTGTTTATGCATTCTGGAGTCTATATTTTTATCCCCCGAGTTTATAAAAAAATAATTTTATTGATAGATTCAAGAATTCGAGAGATGAAATAAGGGGAGAATAGGTATCCATCGAAAATAAAACATAGAATTGTTGCTCACTTGTTTCATTGCGAGAGATATGGGTTTGTTTTTCGTGTTGATGTCCTCTCGAGTCCCTAGATTTTCGTCCCTATACTTTATGAAACAATAATCCAATCGATGTGTGAAAGAGAAACAATAGAAGGGAAGATTTAAATGCATCAATAATAGCACTTAGAGCTGATTTTTACTCATTGTATTGGAGGGGATTATGGAGTAGATTTATTCGGATGAACGACAGGTTTACAAGAATAATTACGGAGTATTTATGTTATTCTGAATGAAAAATTATCCTTCACGTCTCCCAGAATAGCTCGATTTTATTATCATGGAGTTATAGTGTATTTGTTTTATTGATCATTATGAATGAAAAGGGTTTCCCTCACATTGGCTCTATCTCATTGGTGAATGGAGTTCACCTGGTCATTCGGTTGAGGGTTACGATTAAATGAGAGAAGATAATTGATCGAGTTTTCTGCGTGCTGATGGGATAATGAAAGTTGTTTTCGGTGTTTGTTTATTCAATTGTGAAATCCTTTCGCGACCTGTGTATCCAATTTCGGAACACACCTCAATTTTTTTCTTGATTGTTCAATTTTTGGTTGGATTAATTTTTATTTTTATTGATGTATTTATTGCTTCGTACAGACTTTTAAGGGGTGATCACACATATTTTTCACATCCTTAGCAACCCCATGTACATTTAAATGTAGAACAGTTCATACAATCAACAAGTAGCCCTAATTAAATTATAAAGATGTTACTAATGAACTATGAAAAGTAATTCGGGGGAAGAGAAAGAGGAAATAAAAATGATGGTGGGGGTGAGGGGATAATCACACAATCTTCGATGAACCGAGTCTCATTCTGCAACTTGAGAAGATATCTTGAAAATACAAAACAATCGAAAAATTCCATTCTGCAGGTCTCGAGTTATTAACGATCAAAGACGGAGCTTACTTCCCCCTAATATTCACAATGTCATGACCTGTTGTATGGCATAAGCATAAATTTCTTGCGATTGAATCCTACCACAAAATCCTGAATCGATGTACGAGGCTGAAAAAAATCTTGAGTAATTAGAATTCGAAAAGTTTTCTCAGCGCAGTTCTGCTCATATTTTGCAGTTTCAGACGTTCGAACTGAATAGAGATGGGAAAGATGTAAAAATCGAATCCCTCAAAGTTGTCATTAATTTCAAAAGGATGGAAAATCAATTGATTTCATTTTTAGAAATTTACTCGCGAGGCAAAAAATTTCTACTTCTCTTCAAAATGAAGTTTCAGCTGCATATCCAGTTGCATATCCATGAAGAGAATTAATCCCTGTAATAATCAAGTATCTAAGCCCATCCGTCGATTGAACCCAGAGAGATTCAACATAAATTTGATTGTATGTTCACATCCAAAGGTGTCGAACCCATCGAAGGACTTGAAGAAGCCCTCGCATAGCAAAAAGTCGCCGATCTATTGCATATTCTTCTTCGGCACGAACAACTAGTGAGTATCATCCACCCATTCTATCTAATCATTCTTGAATAAAACAAGAGTGCAATTAAATGAAAATTCTCTGCTTCTCTAGTGGATGGATTGAGGAGTCAAATATGAAGTCGTATCGTGAGCACAAGGAGACCTGCATAAAGTTGAACAAGAGTGCGGCTTTCAAAGATGCTATTGAGGCTATCGAGGAATTCATTGCCAAAGGACAGGTAATGATCGATTCCCGAACGATTACATTGATTCAATTCTATTAAAAAAATAAAAACTCTCCTGTCTGCCACGATTATCGATTAATTTCCCCTTATTCACCGTTAATTATTCTCCAAACTTTTTTCAAAACCCCAATGTAAATGTCTCGGTTCGTGCATCAGGTGTTTGAGGACGGCTTGGATCCAGATTCTCTCTTCGACAGGCTAAAGGAGGAGAGCATAGTTGTTGAGAAGAAGACTCCAAAGATTACGAAGCCTCGCAAGGTCAGTATTAGAACAAATTATTATGGAAGCATCTGCAAGTGGTTCAGAGGTATTCAATTAATATTTGATTATACCTTCATCCCCAGGAAACTCCAAAGGCGAAGAGGATTGACACGAGTGTGGAGCGTCGTCCAGCTAAGAAGCAGCGACGTGAGTCGAGCGCAAGCAACAGCAATCGCATCGGTAGTCCAAGTCCAACGTTGAATCATTCTTCACCCTCTCCACCAAGAAAATCAACATCTACTTTACTCGACAGACCAGCTAATATTGCAAGACCTGTAAGTATATTTGAATAATTTTACTTTTCAAAAATACTCCGACTGTTCAACTCCAATTCCCTGATAATAATTAATAATTCAAACTAAGACAAATATCATAAAAATACAATGCTAATATTATTGAATAATATTTAATAGTTTTAATTAGTTATTTAACTCTTCAAGTTGAGAGAGAAATGTTTGAACTGAAAATGTTTGACTCAATGATTACTTGAGTTTCTTGTCATTATTGAATTAAATTACGTTTTAAAAATTTAGTAATTAATTTTTTTGTGATATTTTTAAAGTTTTGAATTACTCATTGGTCGATTAGTTTTTTTTATGGACATTTAAATGGAGAATCGCTCGAATTTTCAAAGTTTGGATATGATTTTTCGATTGAGTAATTAGATTGAATGGAAGACGCGATTAGAGTAATTGTACACGTGTACTCAAAATTTAGAGTTTTGCGAGCTGAATGATGGTTGACGATTATAATCTGAAACTCGAACAGTGGTTCTCAATCAAGGGGAACTAGTGCGCATGCCCCCTATCGAGTGTAGCCAACGACCCGCGTATATCTCAAATAATGTTGACTTTGACCAGTTTCTTGATTTCCCTGGATTATTTCATTTATTTTAATTCCGTGCTTCAATTATATGATTATGAGAAATGCATCTACATTTTCCTATTAATTTTTTTATTGTAAAATTTACAATTGATCCATTCACGAATCTAGCTTTATAAATTATTTAATGAGATGACTAATTTTTTGGAAAATAAATTCTTTCGTTTGATGGAAAATGAAGGGGTTTCAAAGAATCATTGATAAAATGACAAAAAAAATTACTTTTATCCTCAAAGGTAACACCACCACTTGACGTAGAGACACTCTCGCAGACTCTGAAAGAGAAGAACATTCTTCCATCAAATCTTAAATTCGGCTTCCTCGGTCTCGGCATAATGGGCAGTGGAATTGTCAAGAACCTCATTAACAGTGGGCACAGCGTCATCGTCTGGAACAGAACTCAAGAAAAGGTATGTACCAAACGATCAAAAATAATCACTTCCTCAATTTTACCTCTTCAAGATGCCCCCTTCTCTCCATAATATGCGTCGCCCAGAACTCGTCTCCATTCAGTTCCTAACGATAAGAATCCTAATATTAACCTGTTCATGCAGATGTGATGAGATAGAATGATCCATGCCCGTGAAAAAAATTATTCCATACTTTATTGCAACAGGAGTAACATCAACTATTACATCTTCATTAATTTTTACAATAATTCAATCAATTATTTATTTTATCAATTATTTATTATTTTAATGGTAACATTTCCCCTAGATTGAATTATATTAATGCAAAATTTCGTGGCATGTCACAGACAAGTTGTTGACAATCGACAACAAGAAATTTTCCCTCGAAATAAAAAAAAGAATTTCCCGTGAGATTCGATGCCAATCGGTCACTCCCTCAATTTTACCTCTTCGAGTTTCCCCATTCCGTTCATACTCTGCGTCGTCCAGAACTCCTCTCCATTCAGTCTAATGACAAGAGTCCTAACATCAAGCTGTTCATGAAAACAAAATTATTCCATAATTTATTACGACAGGAGTGACATCAACTATGATATCTTCATTAATATTTACAATAATTCAATTAATTACTTACAATTCCCCCTAGATTATATTAACGGGAAATTTCTTGACATGTCACAGACAAGTTGTCGACAATTGACAACAAGGCATTTTTCCTCCAATTAAACAAACTAATTTTTCGTGAGATTCAATGTCTCAATTAAAAAAAAAATTGCCCCATTCCCCTCACTCTATGCGTCGCCCTCAAGTCCTCCTCATCCATTTTTCAACAATGAGAGCCCTAACATCAAGCCGTTCATAGAGATGTGATGAGAAAGAATTATCGATACGAATGAAAAAAATTATTCTATAATTTATTGCAACAGGAGTTACATTCTCTATCATCTTTATTAATATTTACAATAATTCAATAAACTATTTACAATTACACCTAGATTTGATTATATTGACGTCAAATTCGTTGACAAGTCACAGTCGAGTTGTCGGCAATCGACAACGAGAAGTTTTTCCTCGAAACTAAAAAAAAATCATTTCTCGCGAAATTCAATGCCAATCGGTCCTATGGAGAAGTGAGGGAAGACAAAATTGCCGGTCGACAGTATGGCGGAGCCACTCTTCACTCTGTCATACTCGTTACACCGATTACGTAATAACACGAGGAGACGTACTCGACCTGTTCGTTAACGTCACCGATGACGCTATCTCCGTTGATAGTGATTAATCGCGTTTTCAGCTGATGTCGCCCATTGTTTTCAATTTATTCCATGAAAATAGCCCGTCCAATTAGATTTCTTCAAAATCTAATCAATTAAAAATACCAATCGATCGATCTTTGGTTAAAAATATCGTGTAATTGAATCTAAATTTGAGTACACTCAGATAATAATTTATTTAAACATTCCAATTCGTCTAAATTCAACTATATTCATTACTCGTTTCATTAGAACTGAGCAAAAATGATATTTTTCCACAGCTGCATCTACACAATTCCTCGAAATTCTCTTTATTTTCAAAACTCCTCATTCTCTCAAGCTACAGGTGAGGGAATAATCCCCATAATTCATTTCATTTCTATCTAGTGATAATTTAATTCTACTTGTACCCCTCAAAATTCATACAGAACTCAAAGGTTGATACTTATGTTCTACTTATGAATATAATCAGACAAGATGACCATGTATAAAAATATTTATGCGGAAGGAAGCATAAATACCAACTTCCGGGAATGGAGAGACTGAGTGAGAGTGCAACTCCCCAGTATTCCAAATATTTCAATCAAGAACACATCATATTTATTCATCCACAATTCTCATTCAACATCACCAATTGTTCGCATAGAAAAAAAAATTGTTTCTCGTGCATATCGACATTTAATAACTTGTTCAATCAACAATAACTTGGAAATAATTTAATCATCACGTTTGTATTGTTGTCAATAATATCCAGCAGAGCATTCAATTCTCATGAGTTCATTGAATACAGTAGTCTCACGTGGTACCTACAATTTCAAAATAGCGGAGAGGAAACAAGCACTAGACTGATGAGTATCAACTAGTCGTTGTTAATTACTGCTCCATTAATTATTGCATTGTCAATTGACAATTTGGCAACAAGCACATCCGATACATGTAACTAATAATCACCAGCTACAGTTGCATTGACGATAAAAATCTGTCAGCTGAGGGGATGAATTCAATAGAAATCTATGAATTTATTCGTTAAACTCATCGGAAGACGTATTCTCAGATCTATTGCGCCATTTACCTCAAAAGTATAGCCAGAATTTTTATCATCTAGTCCTATCGAAATACCTGCAATTGCCAATCTCAAGTCCACGTCACTTATTCTCAGCGACTAAACATGTGTTTTATATTTGCGATATATTTCAGCCTTTTGTTGGCAATCGAGAGGAGAGTGACTACTTATCACTCCATTAATCGTTACTTGTCATTTCAATAATGTTTCATGCAATCTCTATGACATGAAACTGCTGTTTCTCAAACTCTCTGCGGTTGACCAAAAATAACTGTCTACTGAGCATAATAACAAGAGCATTCTGAACCCAATAGTCTTCACCCAGTCAATCTCGCTCGATTTATCCTCACCCATCCAAATTTACCCGAGAAAAAAATGTCTCCAACCTTTATACTCAATTGACGCCTAGGAATTGGCAGAAATAGCATAATATTTACTCTAAAATCTCCATTTCAGTGATGAATATTAATCTGGATGGGTCTCCCCGAAATTTAAAAAAACACAGAACAAGTATTTTTCGTATCATCCTGGCACACATGGGTTTATTAATTTTTCAAAATCATCTGTTCCCTTCGAATCACTCGTATACAATCGCGTCAGGTACAGCAGTGCCCGAGCACCAGCATCATGACACAATTATCCTCGAAACATCTACGGAAGGCACATCGCCACACGTTGAACTCGCCCGAAAATTGATGAGAAGAAAAAAAACATTGCACCTCATCTCGCATCAATCACAGTATTCGTAAATTATTTAACAATCAATGTTATTTATCACACTTTAAATTTATCATAGCCGTGTTTCACGTGGCAATTCCGGCATACTTGCTGAAGGGCCGAGTAAACCAAGTACCTCCGGCATACTTGCCTGATCTCTGCCTATAAATTCAGCGCTGGTGCCACGATAAACCGGCGTATTGACATCAAACCCCTTGGCCACAGTCTCCTCACTCTGTTCACCCTCATTACGAAACAACAAATTACCCCTGAAGTGTTCAAACGGTGGCGGTGGCCCATCCTCGATGTAATTAATATGAATTCCATCAATGAATCCAGGACCATGTGGACTGGCTGCGGAAAACTCGGTCGGTGTGTAATACTCACTATTGAGATCCTCATTGCTCGCACAACCGTCCAATCTATCCAATTTCCTCTTGAAATAAGACTCCATCTCGGGTCCATTCATATCCTTTCCATCAAAAACACACGAATCACTCCTTCCGCATGATCCACTCCGGCAATTATCGAAGTATAGATTTGGCAGATTCTCCAATACTTTGTTCAACGTTTGCTGCTGATACTTGTAGCTCTCGCGTAATCGCAGTACCTGGTGTGCGCTGAACTTTCGTATTTTGTTTCGTTGAAAAACGTAGTTCTCACGCACCCAATTGAGCTGGCCAGTTGAATAATCACGTACACGTTTGACCTGTTTAAGAGCACCAAATTTCCATCGTGAAATTCGTATTCTTGTGCATTCTACCGATGCAGCTGAAACTAGTGCATTATTCGACGGCAGAAAATTCAATTTAGGAGATTTTTCAGGGTTCAAGGGTCAAACAATCATCAGAGCGAATTCTTTTCCCCCGTAGATTCGGCTAAATCGAATCTTCTGTTCGCGAATTTTTAGCTAGTTTCAGCTCAACTTGGTTTTGTTGAATAGAGAGAAAAAAATTGCGGGGAAAACTGGTGGCGGCATTACCTGATCGTAGTATTGATCCTTGAGTGTCGTTAGATGGCTCGTTCCGTAATCCCTGATGTCCCTAATGTGTCGCATCTGTCCCTCATAGCTGTCCCTTATCCACTCAACTTGCTGTGCACAATTGTCCTTGATCCTGTGTACTTGCTGGGTGTAATTTTCACGTAAACGCTCGAGCTGCTGACTCTTGTACTGCTCGATGTTATCAAGCATTTGGTATATTTGTTTAGCACGTGTACCGCGTCTGCAGCAGGAACACCAGCTACAACAGCCGCATCTGAGACAGTATTATTAGTTTTATTTTTTATTCATTCGCGTTGAACTCAGCAGGGACTCGGGGAGATGAAACTGAAACTAGCGGCATTTTAGCCAGCGGAGAATTCGATTCAGGGGTTTTTTGAGGGTTCAAAGATCAAGCAATCGTGTGAGCCATTTTTTTGTCAAGAACGAACAAGTTTGCTCATGACTTTAAAATATTTTTTCACCCCTAGAATACCCTAAAGCGAATCCTTCGCCAATTTTAACTAACAGAACGTTAGCCAGCGGAAAATTCAATTGAGAGAATTTTTGAGGGTTCAAAGGTCAAAAAATCATCTGAGCAATTTTTTTCAGATGCGAACACATTTGTTCATGACTTTGAAATATTTTTTCACCCCTACAATCCCTTAAATCAAATCTTTCCCTAGTTTCAACTAACGGAATGTTAACTAGCGGAAAATTTAATTTAGAGGATTCTTGAGGGTTCAAAGGCCAAATAATCATGCGCGCAATGTTTTCCAAGTGCCAACGATTTTACTCATGACTTCCAGCGGCAAATCTTCCGCTAGTTTCAGCCTCACCTCAATGAATTGAATACTTACCGACTGAATACATAACGTAGAAACTGTACAAACAGAGTTAGCAATAGAAATATTACAGTACAAGCAGCACCAACTACTATACTGAATATTTTAATTTCGTAATAAGTTATTGGATTCATCCTGAGGTAAACGAAGGTAGTCATATTGGCAATTGGATTGACAGCAAAGCACTTGTACCGTCCTACATCCTGTCTAAGTAGATTTGTAATGAGAAGTGAGCCATTCTCCATTAGTCTAACGTGCCCCATATTCCCCAAATTTCTCATGCCCTGAGCGCCGTGATGGGCTGGATGATCGTGAAAGGGATCGGGAAACGATGGATCCGGATTCCAATGGAATATCTCCAATTGTGGTGTCACCCAGGTCAACGATGGCGCTGGATTGCCATTGAACTCGCACTCTAGCAGTACCGAGCTATTCAAACGATGCAATACCTCAGTATCAGTGACATGAGTTAAGAATGGTGCTGTACAGTTTAAGTAACGTAGAGCCTGGATAGTGTCGACAGTCTCGGTTTGTCCACAACTCAATCCAGATTCAAATGCAGTTCTGTGTGCATGGTTCTCAGCCCACTTGACGAACCAAAACATTCGGCAATCGCACGCCCACGGATTGCCCTGTAGATGTAGATGCTCTAGGCGTTTGAGGTGAGCCAGTGATGCTGGTAAAAACGTTAAATCGTTGTCGCGAAGATTCAGATTGCGCAGTTCAGAAAGATGATTCAGTGTTTTGGCTTCGATGCCACGAAGAGGACTGTTGGATATCGTGAGGTTCTCCAGTTTTGAAAGGCCAATTAAATCCTCATTTCTCAGTACTTCAATTCTCGTTTTGTCCAGGACCAGTGATCTCAACTCTGGCACTGGTCTCCAAACGTCCCTCGGTAATTTCGTTAATCTTGTACCTCCAAGGTTCACGTATACGAGATTATTGAGGCCCTGGAATGCTGTATTTGATAAATTAGCAATGGGATTGCCGGATATGTCTAAATCCTCGAGTTGTGATAATTCTGAGAAGAAGCTCCTTGGAAGTATATCAATGTCATTACTGGACATATCAAGATGCTGTAGTTTCCTTAATCCTGAGAACAAACGACTAGGCAACTTGGTGAGATGATTGGAGGACAAATGAAGACTGAGTAATTCACGATTTGGCTTGAACGTGTGATCCGGCAATGATACAATACGATTGCCACTAAGATCGAGATGAGTTAGGGATTTAACAACGATAAATGCTTGATAAGGAAGCACAGCTATTTGATTGTGTGCCAGTAGGAGTATCTCCAACGATTCTAATCCCCGAACAGCAGACCTGGGGAGGCTCGTCAATGAATTGCCGGTTAAATTGAGGTATCTCAAACGATTTAATGGAGCTAACACGTCCTCTGGCAATGTTGCAATACGATTGTCACCTAGATCCAGGTGTTCTAACAATGGAGTCGATAGAAAAACTCCTGGCCCTATTCTCTCTATTCCACTTGATCGCCAAATGAGCCGCTGCAGGAGATCTGATGATTCTAAAGCAGCAACTGATAGTTCTGCTGCTCTGACATTCGTCAGTACAACGTTTTTTGCATTTACCGGCAAACCGAGGCCTAAAAAACTCCTCCCCACGCAGTAAAAATTCTCCCCGTCGCACTGACATCCCGCTGGGCACTCGACAATCCCTGCACTCGTTGCACAATTTATTACCGCGAGAATTATCAGTATCACCAGCATCAGAGGGGATTGGCAATATCTCTGAATAATGGACACACGGATTTTCATCACTGGTACCTGCTAATTGATATCGTAATGATGATCTCCAGCCACCTCCCATCTCCTGTGGCTCTGAGGCCGTACTCTCCGTAGCCCCGTTGGTTCCCCCGTTTATAATTTCAACAATCGCCAGGTGCCAGCTACCAAAACAAAGTCAATCAGTCTCTCTTGTTTCACTTATTTAACGACGCTAATTACGAAAAACGGATGTTGGGGGGATAGTTAACCGTTGGCGAAGTATCCAAACGCTCTTCCAGTCAGCGTATTGACAAATTCATTGCTCCACTCTGATGTCATAGTTAACGGCGGTCCTACAATTGTTAGTAAATACAGGGAGATTGCTATTATGAGTGGTTTAATCTCGTGTGCGACGTTAGGTTGTGAAATTCTGTTCGAATTTTCCCGCTTGCTGGGTGCCACTCTGCTCGCTGATGGATACGTGTCACATGACGCGAGAGCAGTTGAGTTTTGTTTAACATAAAACAGTTGCTATATTTCACATGGCGCACACAATCTCCACAACGCTCACCAGACAAAAACTGACTGAAGCGATGGTCTCAAAGCTCCTCGTGGCCTACCAGCGGTGGAGAGATATCTGGCAACACTGGAAATGTCGTTGTTCGGGGGCTACTGGTCCTCTGCGCATGGCAACCCTGCGGGAGTGCTCTCCCTACCCCCCCGTTTTTGCTGTTGGCTAACGGAGAGACCCGCTGTTGTGCGGAACGAAAAGCAAGAAGGACGAGAAAGATCGACCAGGGGAACCCACGCGCGCCTGGGAGACTGAATTCCCTCGGCTTTACTGGGCATGTCTCTCTCTAAGCGGGGCTTTATACATCTCTGTTGATGGCTGAAGCTCTGAAAAACCGAGTGGGAACTGCTGAAACGGGGAACTGTACTCACATTGCACAGGGGATATTGGGGACATAGGGCTGTTTGAAAATTACTCTGGCAATTTTGGGGGAAAAATTTTGTTATTTTTTATAACGATCCATTCATGTGGATTTTATATTTTTTTGGCACTGAAACATCAGTCGAATTTGTCAGAATTCAATGACATTGACATTCTCGGATGCACGAGACGATGAAAATTATTGAGAATTCAAGCAATTTTTAATTCAGATTATGAGTTTGGAAATTCTAGATGTCGATGAAATATCAATACACGCTTACATTGGAAAATAAATTCACAACATTCAGAATTAAAGTGCAATTTATTAGTTGAATTCAATAGCGAATAGGTAAAGCGGTTTAAGTCGACTAAGGGAGATAACGAAATTTCTGTAATAACATTTGTTGTAGCTCTCAATCGGCTCTACAAAAAAGGTTATAACAAAAATTTGACTCTCTCCCGTAGATTTCGAGATTTTCATTGAAAACTGGTCAATAATCAAAATTGACTTGTATCGTTTTATCACTTCGCTACTGCATTAAAAAAAAATTAACAGTGCGACATTTATGCGATCTGAAGAAATTCGCCTGTGACTCTGCAGGAAGTTAATGTTGATGGAGATGTGCATTGTTTATTACGCGACCGTTTATTTATATTCCAGAAATGCGATACAATTATGACGTGCACGTCCGCCATTTCTCAATGGTTGGAGATTGCTTTTATGATAATTATTGGAATAGTCTGTGGGGTAATTAGGGGAGTTGTTAAAATTTCGGTGATTTTAGTTTTATTTAAGTTTTCGTTCCTTTTACGAGATCCCCTGAGGCCTGAGGGGGAGAATATCTTGATGCCATTACATTACATTTTATCGAAAAACAAAAGGTTCTTTCAAGAAGTCCATTTATATTTTACTACATCCGTTAGATATTTATTTTGAATACTTACTATCTTGTCATCTCCAAATAGACTTTAATCCCCGGCAATTAGTCTTTATTGTTGAAGTAAATGTCTTGAGGTGCAGAGATGGATTTATGATAAAGATTGAGTAGTTCTGATGTCGGAGTGAGAGACTTGCTTTGGCGAAGGAATTTTATCAGGTCGATCGGGAGAATTGATCTAGATTTTACGATTATAGTTGCGATTATCTTCTATTCGTGTTATCGTGATGGAGACATTGACGAAAATGTAAACTAGAGTGCGAATGAGTTTAAAGTATTTTTCATTTTTTCATTCCCGAATGCATGGCGGGGCTAAGGTAAATATTTAGAGGTGCAAATAGTCTCGACTATTCATCCCTCGACCTCATCTCCACTTCTGTCCTCTCGTTGTCACTCGCACAATGACTTCAAACGGAATTGTTAAAAAATCTTTGCCATTGTGAAATCGTCTTTGATGATTTCCCCCAAAAGAAGAGAGTGAAGATTTTAACTCCCCCAGTCACCTCATTTTTTTAAATGTTTGTTGAATCTATTAATACCCCGGCAGAGAGGAAATACTGTGACACGAAACCGCGGCGAACCAGCGGTATTTTTTCGTTTGATTTCTTTCTCTGAAATCCGCTATTTCTGGGTGGACTTGTAGGTTTTCTCAGGCAGTGCCACTGCGTGGTAAATTGATGACTGAAGTAGGAAACGTATAGGTAACCGATGTCCGAGGTCACTCGCTCTCATTTCATGCAAAAGGTCAGCTTCGAACGTTATATTATCTGGCTCTTGTAAATAATTATCAGTCGTGAGTCGATCCTCATTTATTTTCATTGGACATTGCGGTTTCGGCTTGAATTTTTGTTTACGCGAAACTTTATACTGGAGATGTATATTTATTACGGCCTTGGATTTCTCTACGTGATTTTAACTTCGCGAATTATATAGAGGTGGGGAATATAATTTTGAAAGAACCAGAGATCTTTAACTCAATAATTTAATTCTATTTCAATGCCATGGTAAAAATTTTTGCATGAAATTTCCGATGAATATATTCTTGAATTTTCTATTAATTGAAAATTCCAATGTGCGAAGGAATTCTTCTATGAATTCCGCTCAAAAATTTTGAATTTCATTGAATTTTTAGTGAAATCTGAAATTTCATAATTTTCCCAACTAAATTACATTCAATCTCACTCTCCTATTTTTTTTAATAGTGTGGATTTGAAAAATATGAATACAATATAACATGAAATTTGAAATAATCTCAAGAAAGATAAAAGACCAGCAGTTCTGTTTCCCTCCCACAAGAGCACAATTTATTATTTAATCGTCTCGCAGAAAATAAAAATTCCCTATTAGCTGATAAAATTAATGTGCACTCCTAATTGCTTCCACGTTTTACATCTTCCAAGTATTTTCTCGTTCGTTGTTTCAATGTATTGCGATTAAGAAACGCATAAAAACTTGACATCGTCACAATTCCCAGTCACGAATGCTGTTATTTAATTCTTAATTTCGCATTATCATCAGTGTTTTCAATTTTCTCATTTTACATATTCATTCATTGTAAAAAAAAATCACAACCGATCCATGAAGAATTCATAAATCGATATGAACCGTGAAAAATACGCATGTTTGTTTAAACGAACGATTATCGTCTTGTTATCGCATACGTAGCAGCCATGCCACGACAATAATAACATGCACACGAGCTCCGTTCAAACACGAGATATACCTCTTCCCACCTTACCACTTATCTCACCTCGGTAATCCTCTTTTTATTTTCCTCCTTGAATAGCTCCTTCCGCGTATCCCCGAAGGATTTATATTACCCTCGGAAGAGCTCAGTTGCCAGAGCACAAGATTTCATATTCTCGAGTTGTAAAAACACCTAGTAAAAGTCGTAAGTATGGCCCAAGGACTCCGAGAAAAACGAATGAAGAATCGTGAATGGAGTAAATCGCCACATTCACTCAGAACATTTATTCCCCCATTCGTCGGGGGATGATAATAAATTGGGGTTGGGACTGTAGGTCATTTCAAGGACCTTCCGAGGCACTCGTGCACACGTAAGACTCAAGTTTTCTGCGTATTTTCTCAGGAAACTAGAGAGAAGCGTTTCAAATCCCCCAACCCACAGGTACATCCGACTATTCGGACTTGGTACGCTGGGTCACGTCTGGGATATCGACGCAGCCTCGGTTGGTCATGGTCAGGGAAAAACTTTGTATGTGTGCAGTGGAATTATCTGCTCTATTACAATGAATGCATTCATCTGCATATCTATGCAGTTTGATGGATTGTTATGCGCAATGCTTTTATCAAATTATTGTCAAAATTGGGAATAATCTGTTTGGAATTATAGTGTTGAAAGTTTTTGGTTGAAATTCGCGGTACAATTTGCGAAAAATTTCGTCACGTTTTAATTCCACGGAAGTTTCAAAGAATTTTGTCAGAACTGCGAATTTCAGCTCAATTATTCCATAAAACATAACAGAAATGAGGATAATTTCGGTAAATATATTGTTCAATTTTCAATTAATTGACACTGAATATTCATGTTTTGATTGAAAGTTCAAATAAATTCAGTAATTCTCCTCGTAATGATGTTAAAAAATCTAAAATTTCAGTGAATTTTTAGTGAACTGTGAAGATAAATTTCTCATTAAAAATGCAATGAGCACCAAAAAATTTCGCGACAAATGCACATTTTCTAAAACAATTATTTCACCGCACTATTTCTGCACTTCCGTTTATACTCATCAAGTCTCGACAATTCTAGAGACGTTTAAAAATAATCAAAACCGATGTTTATTTGCATCGAAGAGCGAGTGTTCCCAGACGAGCTATAAAAATTTCGTAGAGTGGGAGAAATAAAGAGGAATCGTGCGTTGAAAGGAAATAAAAGCGTGCATGAAGGACGGAGGGGAAGTGAAATAGTGGAGGAGGGTACCGCGGTCATGAGCGGTTGCCTTCGGATCAGCTGGGCTGTGCGCAGTGTTGCCATTCTTCGGTTGACAGCGCACAGGGGTACCCAGCTGCGATCAATATTCCTTGGCACTGGCAACGCCGGCCCTGAGGGGGATCAAATGAAGGCCCGACTGGTACGAATGCCTGCACCGTCTTCTCTTGCTCTCTCCCGTATTCCCCTGCGCTTAACTTTTCTTGTATTTTTTTTTTCACTCGGAGTTCCTCTCTCGGGGGCTTTATTCTCACTCACACCGAGTGCCATATGCCCTCTCGCGCCATTCATACTTCATTTATTACGAGGGAATTTATTTAACCTTTCCCGTCTTCTCTGGGATCCTCCGTTTTTAGATGAGTTGGATTTTATCTATCATGAGAATTCAGTTCATGCGGGAAACGATATTACTTCCGGGGGTTTTGCACGAGGGGACGTGTGGGTGGGTGAACTGTGGAGGGATTGTGAGAAAGCATGAGGTTGTACACACATCGGACACAATCTCCCACGTCGGGCATAATGTGGATTAATATAAAACACTTTCGAAAAGGCCAAGTCAGCTTTATCCTCGGTTGTATCGCGATAAGAATTTTTTGTTGATTTTTTTGTGTAAATGGAGAGCACTCCATCTTTGGATGGTGTGTATTTCCATTTTTATGTACTGATTTCAATTCGTCTGTTTTCATTCATGAGAGGGTCCCTGAGATACGAGGGATATGAAAAATTGAGAGAATTCATTTGGTCGTCATGCGAGATTCTAAATCAATAACTTCTGTTTGTTTCAATCTTATGGAAAAGTTTCAGTTTACGGTTGGAGAAAAGGTTCGAGCGGCAATATTGATTCTGGTGTTCGTGGAGTTTTTTTATCAGGAGAAATTGATGAAAATGGGAATTGAACTTCTTACAAGGCTCGTCTGATTGGACAGTCTCTCGTAAAAATTTATTTTCGTTTCCAATCATTGAAATTATACCATTTCGATTATTTTTGGAGTGAAAATACTGGAGTTTTCAATTTCCCTTTGGAATGTAGAATATTTTTAGGGGATGTTTGGTGATGTAAGAGGAATAAAGTAATTTTCCGAGACGTTATTGTTGAGCCAGTAAAATCTGAACAAAAATTCTCATAAAAATTTCACCATTTGCTTATTTTATATTAATTTATATATAAATATCCACTGATATTTATCAAAAATACATCCAAAGGGATCCCCATCTCCTCATAAATGATATTTACATGTTCATAAATGTCTCCCAATTACGAATAATCCCTTCTCCCCCAGAAAATTAATTTCCACAGAAGCTTTTATAATTAGATAACCCACACTATCGCAGCATCGTGAACAGAAATGAGTTGGATTACCCAGGTGAATACCGAGGTTAAATTCCCGCGGTTACACGAAGGTCGCGATAGTCGCACACCATTGGTTGTAACACCTCATGAGTAACCCCCACCCCCGGGGATTATCGATTCATCAGCGTATCGAATAGCAATAACGCAAAAATAAACATAAACCAAATGACGATTAATTATTGTGTAGGGGAGGGTAGGGTAAAACGGACACTGGACTTTTTTTGAAATATTCATGACGTGTTGAATTGTTTATGAAATGGAATAATTTTATTTTTCAATTGAAGAACAATGATTCCTCTTTGTGATGAGCTGAGACTGAGCTCAATTGATAAATCTGTTTCTGAGTTATGGATATTTTTAAAAAAGTCCAGTGTCCATTTTACCCTACCCTCCCCTAATCGACATATTTGTCCGGCGAACTGACAGTTTCCATTCAACGACCCGTATTGATTAATTATTTCCCTGAATAAGGAACAATTAAGCAACGGTACCTCCTTGAATTAATTAAGAGTAAAAATAAAACACGAATTACTTGAAATTAGTTCAAAGAACTTAGTCACAGCGAGTTGTTCTCCATAAATACTCGAGACTCGGGCTGATGTAGCCGGTTTCTGAGAGTGTGTGAGTACAAATGCTGAATATAAATTCAGCCGGGCATTAACCCATGACAATGAAAGATGAATAAAAAAGGGAGAATACAATGTTTGACTTCCGGTGGATATAGAGTGTTAGCGCTATTGCTGAGGTCTCGATGGAAGTAGTTGTGATGGGCATGAGGTCGATAGAATATTCCATTTCCGGCGCCAGTTTCATTGCTCTTATCGCAACGCCTACTATTTATGGTGATAAGAGGAATACAATTAATGACGTTTTTGGAATTCACGTGGGTTCGGTGTTGAAATTTTCAGGTGGAATTTGTGCAGTGGGGGGAACTTTCGCTCATGAACAATCAATGAGGCATTAATTAGGGACGATTGTGCAATGGAAATATGAATTATTAATTGCAGAGAGATTCGCTCGTTTTGTTCTAGTGAATTTATTAGAGGGGAGTTTGCATTTAATTGTTTTAGTATCAACGTGAGACAATGCGTACAGCATTCATTACTATTCGTAATAAATTATGAAAAAATCAGGGGTTGTGAATTTTCTTTCTATTTCTTCGAGATTTCTGTTGCTTTATCCACGTTTGGGGGGAGTCCCCTCAAGAACTCGAGAATTGGAGAGGTGATAACGCGATTTCACACAAAAAAAAGCAAAGATTGATTTGAGATTTCAAAGGTCTTGAAATCATTAGTGAAGCGGTAAGCCGAGTTAAGTAGATTTTCACTATTAGCCAGTTTTTGCTGAATATCTCGGAATCTAAGAGAGATAGCAAAATTTTTCTCATGACTTTTTTTATAACGCTCTATTGGCTCTACAAAAAAGGTTATGACAAAAATCTTTCTATCTCTTTTAGATTCCGAGATATTCGTCAAAAACTAGCCAATAGTAAAAATCGACTTAACCCGATTTACCGCTTCGCTACTGAAATGAGATATTTCAAAAAATTTAATTCACATTTTTAAAATAAAAAACTTAATAGAATATTTGTAAGTCCCAAAGTGAGACTTGAAAATATTAATTTTAGACTTCAAAGGTCTCAGTTTGAGATCCTTCACTCGTTCAATTTTAGTGAATTTATTAGAGGATTTTGCATTTGATGTTTTTAGTATCTACGTCAGGCAATACGTGCAGAATTCATTACTATCCATGATCTGACGGTGTTATAAATTCCCCGGAATTTTTTTTGTATTTATTCGGGATTTATTATACTTCATTGGCCCGTGGGTCCTTCGGCGGTGCCAACTCATCCCCCCGAAAACCGGAAAAACATTTTTGTTGACTCACATTTGGGAAGAATCCCCTCAAGAACTAGCAAGGAATATCCAGCAGTTCAAGGTCCTAGGTCATGGGTTCCACGTGTCGTTTGCACGCATGTGCGCAAAGTGCTCCACTTTCTGTTGATTACTATTGTCTTCCAGTTTCCCCAAGAAGCCCAGAAAGCCTTCAACAATAGTGAGAACCTTTTTAGCCGGCAGGAACGAGCCGAGGGTCAATCAATCATCCGAAGAAGCTTCCGCAATTGACACTATTGACGTGGGAATTTCTTCGGCCTTCCTCATCTAGACTGTGACGTAAGAATGAGACAAATGTCTTCTCCTTGCTCCCTCGAATCAGAGTCAATCTAATCGTTAATTGAAAGGTAGCTCCGTAGGTTGAGGCCAGCCGGCGCGGTCTGGTTAGCCCCCGGTAGGTCTGGTAAGCCCGTTCTGTTTTTATTTCCACATAAAAAGGAAACTTTTTCACCGCCCGGCAACTGCGGACGTGGCAACGGCGCCTGCTATCGGACACCCGTCCAAATGCCCCCATATGCATCCGTCTAGAGGATATAAACCCGCCGCCATTTACCACTAAACATGGAAATGCTGGCTTTTTCATTTTTTTTATTCATTGAAGCTCTCGTGGAGGGACTCCAAACTTTTAAACTCATTCATTCAATATTACACTTCATCTTGAGCTTCAGTGTTGAAAAAATTTGACTCAATTTTTCGAAAATAGAACTTGAATTGAATTTAAAGGGAAAAAGTAATTGAAATTCCAAGTTTCTCTGAAAATTCAAGTAGAGTCCGAATTTTTTTAGTGGCAGGAAAGCGGAAATTCCACAATTTACATGAATTTTTGAGTGAAAATGAATATTCACGGCCAAATCCCTTGAATTTTCAGGAAATGGTTTTAAAATTCTTAGAATTCCCGGAATTTTTAATGAATTCAAGGAGATTTCTCTCAATTTTCCCAGAGTAATTAACCTGAAATTTACAGTTCCCTCGGATTTTTCCATGAAATTATCAATTTTCATAGCCGAAATTCCCGGAAATTTCAGTGTAAAATTTTTAACAGTATTGTACTATTAGAAATTCTAAATTTAATTTTTTATATCAATTTCTTAAATAAAACACCCCCAGTTATTCTCAATTTTTAAAGTCAGATGAGTTGGAGAAATATTCTTCACGTCTTTTGAGACCATTGACTGTAATATAATAAATGCCACGCCTCGCCTTCCAATTCAGATAAGCTCCTGTAATTCTAAAATCCCCGAACATCGTCAACGATTCTGCATGCTGCAGCATCATTAAACCCCCATCCAATTACCCGAGAATTCATTCATCATCGGAATGATCAAACCAATTGTCGTCGGTGCACATAAACCCTCGAGTCTCGTGCAGTTTATCCTCATCGGTACATTCTAATTTCCGTTTGCTGGGAGTGGCGGGTTCTGGGAGAAAGATAAAACAGTAGTTTCATCATGATTGCATAATCCAGCAAGTCCATGTTGAAAATGGGTTTTAAGTAATGCTGTTGGAGATTCATGGGAGCATTAAACATAATGGCAAGTTGTTTCGTGAGATCATGGCGTCGGTTGAAGCATTCTGGAAGATTCCGAAGGAACTCGAATGGCTTCTAGGCATCAATTATTGGGGAATTTGCGAGTGGACATTTCTCCTTTCGATTTTTTTTCGAGAAATGGAGGATGGGCGGGGGATCGGGGATGATTGAAGGATGTTGAGGACATTGGGAAAGGCGTTGGGTGTGATGGCGTCGGTTGATGATGTGGCGAAAGCGAGCGTAACAGCGTCAGGTAGCTACGTGATGGGTTCAGCGAAGCGAATGGCGTGCGGCTTCCTCTGGGGCCGCCATCTGCAGTCTCCTCGGTGAAGCACTTCTTTCATGTTCTGAATGTCTGCTAGATGGCGGAGGATGTTCTTGGAGGGCGGGAGAATATTCGAAATGGTTTCAAGTCATTTTTCAATGCATCAAACGATTAATTGATTTAATTTTCGTGTTCCAGTGTCAAGACTTCGTTAAAGCTGGCGCAGAGCAGGGATTAACACCCTCGGACGTTGTTCTCGCTGCGGACATCACATTTTCGTGTGTAGCAGATCCCCAAGCAGCTAAAGATGTAAGTATTTAAGCTGTTTTTGACTATTGGTCGGTTTTCAGTGAATATCACGGAATCTAAGAGAGATAGAAAAATTGTTGTTATGAACTTTTTTGTAGAGCAAAATGAGAGCGACGAAAAAGAAAATTACGAAAATTTCGCTAGTTCACTTAGATTCGGAGATATTCTGCTAAAACTCGACGGTTTAACCGGTTCACTACTGAAGTTACTTGAAATAAAGTGAAATGTCTGGAAAGAATGGGGAATTAATCTTCAATTTTGATCGACAGATGGTATTTGGCAACTGCGGAGTTCTCACAGAAATATCCCCAGAGAAGGGTTACGTCGAGATGACGGGAATCGACGCAGAGACCTCCCAAGACATTGCCGAGGCGATAAACACGAAAGGTGGACGGTACCTCGAGGCCCAGGTCCAGGGCAGCAAAACCCACGCCCAGGAGGGAACCCTCGTGATTTTAGCTGCTGGTGACAGATCATTATTCGACGAATGCCAGTCTTGTTTCGAGGCAATGGGCAAGAATAGTTTTTACCTCGGTGAAGTTGGTAATGCCTCCAAGATGAATCTTGTTCTTCAGTTGATGGCCGGAGTGACGCTTGCTGGACTTGCTGAGAGCATGGCACTTGCTGATCGCGCTGGCCTACAGCAGAAGGATGTTCTCGAGGTGCTGGAGCTCACTTCGTTGGCGTGTCCAGCTATTTTGGATAAGGGGAGAGGTATTAGAGGCATTTTATGACGTGAAATCGATTTTAAATGTCCGATGGGAGGAAACATTAGAGCAGATTTACTTGAGGGAAATTAACTTGATGGAAGGAAATTTAATCTTTCATTGTACGACAATCATTTGATCTCCGTCAACTCCATAAGTTTATTCCAAAAATACATTGACCAGGAAAGAATAAAAAAACAATCCAGGAGAAAAAGTTTGCAGGGGAAATATGTCTAAGGAAACAACAAAAGATTTCTTCAATAGAACATATAATTTTTTCTCCCAGTGTAAATAAAACGATTACAAATGTTGGATATTGAATGTAATATTAATATTCATGATATTTATATTTTAGCAATAATCGAAGGTGGTTTCCCAACTCAGTTACCCCTTCAGCACATGCAAAAGGACTTGAGATTGTCCCTGGGTATGTCGGACCAACTGGAGCAACCACTACCCCTAGCAGCAGCTGCTAATGAAGTTTATAAACACGCAAAACGTCTTGGATACGGTGAACACGATGCATCAGCTGTTTATATTCGAGCCAGGTTCTAACCAGGGGCTTAATCCATCGGGGCTATTTGCTATAACCGTATTTATTGCAATACCCAAATGTTCCTCCCCCCAGAGGCAGATTAAAATGAATAAAAAACGTTGTGGATTTACTTTAGAATGATTATTTGAATGCGTGTGGAGACAATGAAATTCAGTGTGCGCTATTGCCAAAGGAATTTGGAGACTGCTTCGAGCGGGGTTAACAATGGCACAACAATGTGAAATTGCATAACAACATTTTCCTGTTTTCTTTAATTTTTTTTTTCTAATGAACTTATTCTTTTCATTTTTGTTAGTAAATATATAGAGTTCGATGAATTTGTAAAACGAAATTGCGAACGATCGGAGAGTTGATCAATCAATTGTAAAATTTAAGGAATTTTATCTGTTACTTTTGTTTTTCTTTTTTTAAGGGAAAGATAACAGGGTCGTTCCTGATGTTTTTTTACATCTCACGAGTGCAGCCTACCATTGTAGACATAGATTTCTCTGTCAGTTCATCGTCTGTCAAATGAATTCACTAATTTTTCCAGTTTTTTCCCTCAAAACATTGTTTTTTATTATTTTTGATCAAAATAATTGACTTGAAATTTTGAGAATTTTTGAGAATGTGCCTTAGGATGTCACTCGATTGAGAAAACAATGTGTAAATTAATTCATCATCAGGGGAAAGTAATTTCAATGAATGACTTTTCCTTTAGGGAGCTATTGTTGTATCTAATTTTCCTGTAATCCGATCTTGTGTTTATTGGGAGACGTAGGGGATCAGAATGATGGGAGATTGACGATTTATCTGGTGCAATGATTTGTTTAATTATGTCAGCGGGACCAGATGGATTACTTTTTTGGTCTAAAACAGATGCATTAGACGATAAATTATGGAACAAATGGTATTTCAATGAAATACGAAACAAAATAACGTAATTGCATTAATTATCTAACGTGTTAACTTGAAAAATTTGCTAATCGATTTAATGATTTGATAAGGCCTGTAATTGACATTTTATTAGCATAATTGATGATTTAATAAAGGAATAATTGAAATCAACATTTCAAATGTGTCATAATGATTGTGGAAATGGAATTTTCAGTAATTTTGTGATCTCCATCATCTCTTCCTATATTTTCTCTGAATAATTTTAATCAACAACCGATCGTTGGGCAATTTCTCACCAAAAACCTGGGAAAATTCACTCTAGCCATGACTATTGTGAGAGGAGATGAATTCGAAAGTTACTTCAACTTTTTTTCCCTGCTTCTTTCTTTAATTTCTCCAATAATGATATTGCGTGTCTAGCTAACATTCGAGGTTCGAATTTTCTGGGAATAGTTGCGCGGCTCTTTGAATTAAAATTGTGCTCCTCTCACCGGAAGAATGGGCGGAAAATTAAACGGAATGAATGGGCCATTTCCGTTCTGATGAAGAAGTCAGAGCGAAAATCAATTTTATGAGACGAAGAAACATTTTACGATTAGAACAATTATCATTTTAGTTGAATAAAATTTCTTCTCAACGATTTTATCGAGATAATATTTTGTTTATTGCCACTGGGATGCAATTGTCTCCTCCAATGGGTGAGCAAGTTCATTCGGGTTAATTGCATTATCAAATTAATTCTTGCATAAATTTTTAAACTATTGAATAGACAGTCAATGGATGAAATTAATTACTATTCTTTAATTGGACTGTTAACGTCCGAGCATTGACGACTCATACGTAATTTAACATTATTTTTACTTCCTCAAAAACTAATAGGTAATAAAAAAATAATACATGGGGATATATAAAAAGAATTTGATTGTAAAGCTGTCGGACTATAAAGCAATAGATAACTGAAATAAGAATGAAAAAAACATATTATTGTACTTGTGGAGTATGAGAATTTCATGAGAGAAAGGCGAGATATATATATATAATCGTGAATATCATATGAGAGGAGTGTGTGGAGTGGATGAAGTGTTCAAGAAATATTTTTTTTTATTAACGGACATTTTCGAGGAATTGGATTCCGTCGCTGGGGTAGGACGACCAACGAGTGAAGATTGGCATTACAATATGACGAAAATAACGGAAAAATCGTATTTTCATGTCTCGGTAATGACAATTCAATTGAAATACAAATTGGAATGGAGTGAAATTTGTCGAGGGACCCCTTTCTTCAGTTCTATATTTACAATAAAGGATTTTTTTAAGTGTAGAAATATCTATTAAATTGACATAATCATCAGAATTATTGAATGTTTTTTTCGTTCACTCAACCCCATTTGCGCCCCAATCTTGCTAACGAAATTACTGATTAATAAATAATTCGGAATTTGAATATTCAAATTGATGATTGCTCCAATAATTAAAATTTAAGAGTGATATCAACTAGTTGACTGCTTAATAATTCAACGGTAATTATAATTTATATGGCTATCCCCGGTTTTCTGTAGATACTGTTCTGTCCTGGAAGAAATGATCATCAACTACGCGATCCTCTAATCGAATAACGAGCAATAAACAATTAATTTTTTTCCACTAATTATTCGTTTTAGATATCCATAAAACGACGACTTTTAAAACTCAGGCTCCCCTTGAGATTTCATTCTTTTCTACGCAAAATATTTTAATTTTTCTATTTTTCCTCTCATCCAAGCTCATCAGCTACATCATCCTCGAATCGATTAACCACTCGTGCAATGTTCCCAAGGTCATTTCCCCCTCGTAATTAAGCGAATTCATCCGATGAAATCAACAGCTTAAAAATTACAAATTAATCTCTACTATTGACCCACCACTTCCTATTTCTTTATCTCAACCTAGTCCTCAAGTTTCTGTCAGTGTACGACGGGTGGAGAGAAGCGATTGGGTGAGAAACACCATAGTATTAAAATGGAAAACATGTCTTTAAAAGTTGGTAAGGGGTCACTGTGGAGAGGGGGGAGGGGGAGGTTGGCTCAGTAAGTTGCATTTACCGAGGCGCCTTTTGGGTGGGAAAAACGAGTGACGAAGTGGCTGCGACTGGCGGCAGAGTGGCGCGGGAGGGGGGGGG